GCCTCAGAGTTCGGCTAAGACCAGACAGCTGAGATTGCTTCTTATGTCCATCGTTACAGAACTGGTCCCTTAGTCAAGGGAATGTGACCTTTGTCTGCTAACCACGCTTCCACAATACTATGGGGAAAAGCCAGTAACTAATACCTGGTCTGGCAGGACAGGAGGACATTACACAGATTCTGGTTATCTTTCAACACTCAAAGAGAAGGGGGGGGGGGAAGGAAATCATAATAGACAAACAGTGGTTCTGAATTTGGGGTTCTCCTCCCCCTCATTGGCTCTTAGACGTTCCATGGTGGGGTGGAGGATTGGAAAGGCAAAAAACCTCATCCCAAAACCTGCTTAGGAATTAAACATTCCTGAAATTCTCTTACTGTATGGTACTTGCTACTCTTAAGGCCAACGAAGCATTCAAGTCTCGTTTCGGAAATGAATGTTCTTGGAAGTTTCTTACTGTCAAGTGTTTGCAAGGCTAAGGCCAACGAAACATTCCCTACCACCTTCACTATCTAAAGTGACAACAAATCTCTGTCTTAGGTTTCCGCATTTGTCTCTGCTGTACAGATCTCTCAATAGTTCCAAAAGATTGGTGACGTGCTTTGGGCAGCACTCGATGCTCCTAATTTATATGAGCTAAAGTTAAAGAGATCTAATAGCTTTGGTTCTGCCAACTTCGTTTAAATGTGATCTAGACAAAACTGGTCCAGAAAAGATGAAGTATTCCACTACCATAAAACTGTATTAAGCATGGCCTAAATATTAGGTGTTTATTCTGTATAGTATGTTCCATCGACTATTTATTACTAGTGCTTTAAACTCCAAATTAAACATCCCTTGAAATGGAGTCATTGGGCAGATGTTCCTTTTATCAATATAGGTTGAGAGATTCTCAACCTGGAAAGAGGAAGCCTACAGACATGGTAAAGCATAGGAAACTAATGTTTCTGATCTGCTTTGTATCATAGTAAATACGGGTAGACTAGAAAATGCATTAGACTTGCAAGACTTGAGTCACGCATAAATATCATTTAAACAGAAGTCTAAGGAACAAGTTCAGCGTAGTACTCAGCCACTATACCTTTTGATGTCATTCTAGAAAGAGGGTATGTGATTTCATTACAGGAGGAAGACAGTTTGATTCATTTGCAATCTTCCAGTATCTTTCTTTAAGAACAAATGCAGCTGATTTGGGCTGTCTTTGGCGGGTAAATATTCCTTTCTTGTTCCCCAAAACACGTGTGGTCCCTGCAAAGAAGTTATACAATGAAGCAAGTATACATAAAATACTCTCATCCCCTACTGTGAACTGTTACAGTGTACGTACTAGATCAGGTTAAATGGAAAAGATGTATGCACTTTCTTCCACACAGTCAGGTACAACAGGGAACCTGGCAGATGTAACTTGGGTTATCTTGGCAAGAGTAATGGTGTAACTGAGCAATGCAGCTGCAGTTTATTGTAGTTACAACTGGTAAGTCAATGACAGTTAATTCAGGTATACCCACTAACTTGATCAGTATTGTATTTACAGCAGATACTCCTTCTGCCATGCGTTCCACCTTGAATTTGACAGTGAAAATGTTGAGTGCTGTTTGTGCTGTCTTTAGTAGTGTTTGTGTCCTTTTTGCCTCTTTTTCATGGGAAACTAGAAAATACAACTGCAACATGCAGAAAGCCTGGAACTGCCTATGTGTATGTGAACTTGTCTGTGTTTTCTCCATCCTATTTGAAACAGCACTTTTCTAATTGCTGCTCTGTGCTGATTGAGCCTTCTAATACCTACCTACATTGGTGCTCTACAGGTTGTTATGAATGGTGTTTCTCTGCCTGAAATTAACACTGACTGTTCACCACCCTAATTCACTGCAGGTGGCATATGCATAACTAGTTCCTTCTTACTAGGTCTCCTTCTGAGCTGCAATTGTTTAATTTCTCTCTGTCTGCACTGTAATGCTCCATACTTTGTGAATGCACACTAATAGTGGGGCGGAGCATCGTGATAGACAGTGGTCTACCAGAATGGCATCTGGTCCTCTAGTGCTAAACCTCTACCAAGTTAATGATACATTATTTAAGGTGCTCTGTTACCAAGGGCAGTTGTAGATGTATGAAGCAAGTGAGACATATCCCTAACAGCTGACTGAAGTTCTGAATTGAGGATAGCTAAGAAATAGCAGTAATCTGGGTCTGCTCACAAGCTTCTTTTGCATTCTGCCCTAGCATGTTGTCTTATGTTTTGGGGAGCATCTCTGCAGAGGGGACACCTAGGGGCTTGAGATATGGAGGGAGGATGCATTAAGTACAGGCAGGACCTTCCGTCTTGGCTTTGTCACAGAAACCAGGGCCCTTTTCTCCTACCCTACAGCACAGTATTCTTTGTGTGTCATAAACCATTTTAAGCTTGCATGGAGGCTGGAGAGTTGGTTAGAATGTAAATATAAGCTTACCTTGATTGGTCATGAAGTCTGCAAAGTTCCAGATGAGCTCCCCAATCACATACTCTTTCCTCTTCTTGTCAAAAACTGAATGGTACTCCCTTAGCATCGCCTTCTGGTACTCCTCACTGAACATCAGAGGTGGATCCTACACCCAGGGAAAAGAGGTGGCCTTGAATGAAGTGACAGCTAATCTCAGCAAAAGCTCTGTATGTTTACTCCCTGTTTACCTGGGACCTGCTTCCTCAAGACAACCTTAACAACTGCTTGGTCTTTCCATTGCAGCTGCATTAACTGTGACAGTTGGCAACTACTGAAATCGATAGGGGAAGCACAGTACAAACATAATGCCAGGGATACCTGGGGGGGGGAAGTTGTGGTTTTACTTGGTGCTTTGTGATAGGTGTAGGAGTGCCACCCCTTCACAGTGGGACAGCCTCATGAAGTGAATGTCCACTCTCCAGTGTCCTGTTTTCCAACTAAGCATTTTCTGTGAATGCTGAAGTGCAGATCTTGGTGCTCAGTGCTTTTAGTCAAAGTTAAAACTTTTCTCTAGGTAAAATCTAATCTTTGTTAGTAGCACAGCTCATTGATTTCAGTGGAGCAGGACTGCACTCCTGGAGTCTTTCAAATGCTTGTAAACTCTCAAAGCTAAGTCAGGCTCAGTGGTACCCACCTCTTCTAATTAAACCTTGCCTCCCCTGTAAGAAGAGCAGTGCTTTTTTTGCATCTTGAGCATCTATAACACTTACACTGTGAAGTCCAGGGACTGAGTCTGCTCCATATTCGCTCTGGATAATGGGTTTTTGGTAGGTTTTATACCAGTTCTCAAACTGTGCTGTGAGTTGTAGTGGAATAACCTCCAGATGGCCTGGGTCATGATACCAGGAGAAGTAGCTATTTACACAGATGACATCCACATAAGGAGCCTATGAAAAAGAAAAGGGTGTTTTATCACAGAGCTCAAAGTAGACAACCTTCACTTGTAAAGCTAAATCCTTTTGGTTCATTTAGTGGAATCCAGTTTTATTACATGTAGAATAAAGTCTTCCCCCCATCACTCAGGCCTTCCTGACATAAAACCTTTCCCTGGAAAAAAGCAGTTATTAAATTTAATAATAGCATACTAATTTGGCATTTTTCTTACAGCACAGCAAAAAGTTAGACAAGATCAACCCATTTCATCCTCAGGTTTGTTAGAAGTTTTTGAGTTTCCAAGATGTCTCTGGCTTGCTGGTACATTTAGATGTACTTCTTGAGTATTGGAATGTGATTATCAAGTTAGTGGTCAAATATTTTGACTAGCAACTAAATTTGTGCATCAATGGTGCAATACTAGGACTAAGCATTCTGCAAGTTATATGCCATTTCTACCACATGGACAGTCCGATAAAAAGGGCACGAAGCCCACTAAAGTGATGTTGTATGTAACTTGTTCAATGTTCTCTTAACATGTTTTGTAATAAAAGCAAAAAAGTTCTAATATCACATCAGTGTATGAGATCTATTCTTTGTTTTTGTTTTCATGTGTCCTTAAGCTGTTCAGAACACGCTCCTGGGAATGGGATGTCAGGAACTGCATGTGTGTGCCTGATGCAGCAGCAATATCCAAGAGCAGATCCCTGCTGGGCTCCTTCAATACTAAGGCCACCAGGTTTTATCGTGGGATAGGGAGGAAGAGAGCTCTTGGAGCTACAGGAGGCCATGCCAGGACAGCCTGAAAGAAATACAAAGTGTAACCTGTAGCAGGGACATGTGGTGGAGTCACATCCCTACAGACTTGCCTGCTAGAAGTGTTCACTGTACAGTAGTGACAAGTACTATAAAGCCATCTTGGAACAATGAAAACTGACATAGGAATGACCCCAGAAACAAATTTTTTGTGTGTTAAAGATCCTTGGTTCATGTTGTGGCCAGCTTAAGGCACAGACATCTAAGAAAAGTGCCTTTTGGATATTTATACAGCTCTAAGACTTTTATAATGAAGCTGGAAGAGCTTATAGATTATTCAGTGTTAATAGACATCTGCCAAAGAAGATCTAGAGCAGTTTAAAGCAGGAATTAAAGCAAAGCTACCTTCCTTTAGGCTTCCACAAGGCCTGTTAAGCATTTTAAAGAGGTTTAAGCTTTGGTTTAATTGCAAGTCAATGCAATCAATGGAATAGCAAAGCATGACAATGTTAATGGCATCTAGGGGTCTGATCCTGCACGCTTCACTCAAGACAAAGAACTGTTCTTTCTTACAGATTTCTTTTTCCCCAGCTGGACTACAACTACAGGATAAGGTGCTTTATACTAGAAACAAAAATGTAAGTTCTCGTCTGCCTCTCCCTATTAAATATCTCCAGTGAACTTGGGGAGGAAGGGGGGAAAGGAGAGTAATAGAAATGACAGGAGGAAATTTAATGCATCAATTAAAAAGGCTAGAAAATAAAGGGAACTTACACCATGATCAAGAGCGTAATGAGCTTCTGTCACATAGGTTACTGGTCTGGAGGGATCGAGAGCTTTAGTGTGAGCTATCACTGTCCTGTTTGCAAACAGTAAAGCAAGAGTTCAGCAACAGCATGGAGAAGCACAGCCCCATTTCCCCAAGCTCTCTGTCCTTCCACCCTCACAGACATTTGGAGCTGGGTCTGACTTAGCAGACAGAGTATTGTTAATTCAGTACCGGAGGATACTTAGCGATCATCTATCAAGTGCCTATAATGTAGCCCATTCTAGAGGAGTATAAACTTCATGTCACAAAGCCGGCTGCCATCCCACCTGAAAAAGGACCAGAGTGGCAGTGTACCAGGCACGGGCAGCTCAGGAGCTGGAGATGGGACAGTGAGTTTGAAGACAGAACCATAAGAAGGGTAATGGGAAGTTCCTCAACAGCTCTGCTCCTGCTAAAGCTCAAGGCCACAGCAGACAGAGCAGTTAAAGGTTGGCAGCCTTTGAGGAAACCCTGAATGAGGGAAATAGAGGAATGGGGAGATGTCCATGAATGGGAGGGTCAAGCTCTGCTGCTGCCTTGATACTGCAGGGGGGTGGTGTGTCATTGTGAAGAATGAAAGTTCATGATTACTTCTTAAAGCACTTCACGCTACGAGGGACAATCTGCTGTCCCATTAGAGAGGTGACTCTTGGCTAACCAAAGCTTAAATCTCTGTAAAGGGGGGAGGAGGAGGGAGGAGCTGTAGAAAGTGAAAGCAGTGGCTTTGAAGGGGGCATCAAGATCCCCAGCAGGACAAATAACCAGCACTAACTGAAGAACCTTGTCCTTAGAATTAAATAAAATAACCAGCACTAACTGAAGAACCTTGTCTTTAGAATTAAAGGCCAGTTATTTTACAGCTCTTCTGTAATCCTCTAAGAATTCAGCACGTGTCTTCCACTGGTAACGAGGAATATGCTGTTCCCAGCAGGTTTGCTTTAGCTCAAACCAAATGGACCCCTGTTAATTCTGCGGAGCTTTACGTTTTCCAAAGCAGCAGACTGACACTGTTACATCGTGCTGAGCATCAGTTCAGCACATGCAGCAGTTACACTGTCAACTTGTGGGTACTGCTTCGGGGTTCCCAAGAAAGGCTTGTCCTCTCTTTACTGCTTCTCTGTGCCACCCCAAAGGAAGAAGATGCACCATTTGCCAAGAGCCAAGCCTCACCTCTCTGACAAGCAGATGCACTTACTTAAAGTAATAAGCTGCTGGGGCCAGCTCCGATGCTGGCTCGTTGGCTACTGACCACATCACGACGGATGGCCTGTTCTTATCCCTGCGGATCAGCTCCTCCATCACAACCAGATGATGCTGCAAGGACTTGTTCCCAAAGCTCTCACTGAAAGACAAAAGGAAGCAAGACCTGGTGAGGTAAGGCTGCAAAATCCATCCCTTCTGCCCTTCCCTGGGGAAACTCGAGCTCCTGGGATGTACAAGCACACCTGAGCCTCGATGCTGGGTATGGCTTCTGCCCTATCTCCCCAAAGCCTGTTGCACGGTTCAGGGCCATGGTCTGGGCTCATTCACACAGATGGCCATGTGGCAGAACGCCCGCCACTTACCCAACCCCACCAGGCACACGTGGCACAAGGGGCTGATTGCTACACAGAGCAAAGTACTTCCAGTATCACAGTATGTTAGAGATTGGAAGGGACCTCAAAAGATCATCTAGTCCAATCCCCCTGCCGGAGCAGGAACACCTAGATAAGGTTACACAGGAACGTGTCCAGGCGGGTTTTGAATGTCTCCAAAGAAGGAGATTCCACAACCTCCCTGGGCAGCCTGTTCCAGTGTTCCGTCACCCTCACTGAGAAGAAGTTTCTTCTCAGGTTTAAATGGAACCTCTTGTGCTCCAATTTGTACCCATTACCCCTTGTCCTTTCATTGTTTGCCACTGAGAAGAGCCTGGCTCCATCCTCGTGACACTCCCCCTTTATATATTCATATACACTAATAAGGTCACCCCTCAATCTCCTCTTCTCCAAACTATAGAGACCCAGCTCCCTCAGTCTTTCCTCATAAGGGAGATGCTCCACTCCCTTAATCATCTTAGTTGCCCTGCGCTGGACTCTCTCCAGCAGGTCCCTGTCCTTAAACTGAGGGGCCCAGAACTGGACACAATATTCCAGATGAGGTCTCACCAGGGCTGAGTAGAGGGGAAGGAGGACCTCTCTCGACCTACTAACCACCCCCCTTCTAATACACCCCAGGATGCCATTGGCCTTCTTGGCCACAAGGGCACAGTGTCAGCTCATGGTCACCCTGTCGTCCACCAGGACCCCCAGGTCCCTCTCCCATACAGTATCTACCCCCCTTCCAGTATCAGGACAACGAGCGCTGTGGGACAGGAAGGGGGTGCTTTTGAAGGCACCCACAACCCAGGGGAAGGGTATCCTGAGCCATGTCTTACGGCAGTTTAATGCCCACGGCCGGGCACTCGTCGATCACCACGATGCCGTAGGTATCACACAGGTCCATGATCTCCTCGGCGTAGGGGTAGTGGCTGGTGCGGAAGGAGTTTGCCCCCAGCCAGCGCAGCAGGTTGAAGTCCTTCACAACCAAGGGCCAGTCCAGCCCTTTGCCACGGATCTGGGGGAGGGAGAGAGACACTGTGGCCCATTGCACTGCTTCTGCCGCGTTAGCCAGGCACCACTGCTCGCTCCCAGAGCTCCTGCAGTGCCGGGTGCCATTTCTAGCTGACCACACACCTCCCCGTGCGGTGTTTGCCTTCACGAGGGGCCCTGCCGCTGCCCGCCATGCCCGGCCCGCCGGCTCCTTCCCTCCCCATGCCGGGCCTTACCCCCGAGGCGGGCAGGGCAGGGCAGGGCGGGAAGCGCACTCCTGACGGGAGAGGCAAGGGCGGGAGCGGAGCTTCCGGCATGGCTGTGGCGTTACCCTGTGGCCGGGCCGCGCCTCGCAGCCCCGCGGCTCCCACTGCGGCTCCTGACGTTATCCCGGCATTCCCGCCATGGGGAACCGATGCTCGAGGCTGGAAGCCATGGCCGGGACCTGGTTTAGCTTCCCTGCCAGCACAGCCCGGCTCGCCCACTATGGCAGCAGTGGGGATGCTGTCGCCTCACCCATGGCCTGGGCGCAGCCCCTTTGAGCAGGAGGCAAGGCGAGGCCGGCCGCTGCCTCAGCAGCACGACGCGAGGTGCCCACGGCGCACACTTACATCTGCGTCTTCGTGCTTGTTCACGCCATGGAAGTAGAAGGGCCGGCCGTTGATGAGGAACTGCGTGCTGGTGACGTGCACGGTGCGGATGCCGACCGGGAGCGTGTACACGTCCTCCAGCATCGCCCCGTTCACCTGCGCCTGCATTTTCACCTGGAGTTCCAAGGAGACGACATAAGTGATGTGATGGGCTCCGCAAGGATGCCCTGTCCTCCCTCCCCTTCACCATCAGGGCTACCTCGACCTCCCATCCTTTCCTTTCCCCAGCCTGCTCCTCACTGCTGCCTCAGTCACCTCTCGTGGTCCTCAGTGATGGAGCAAGGTTTGACTAAATAGACAACAGAAATCCAAGCTGGGGAAGATGAAGGATGAACCCTGGATGACCCTCCTGGGGCTTGTTTAAGAGATAGTTTCTTTTCCCCTTACCCATCTGGCCCATTTTGTCCCCCAAGGCAAGGCAGCAGCACAGCAGCAGCACTATGGCAGCAGTACAGCAGTACTACAGCAGCACTGCAGCTCTTCTGTCCTCACACCTTGACACCAGGCAGTGACTGAAGTGTCATCTGCTCACGAGAGATACGGACCTGAGCCCCTGGAAACTCACCTGCCCCAGCTTCTGTATCTAAATGTCACTACTGAGCCTTGTGCTGTTGCAACTGAGCTCTTGTCTTGCAGAGCAGGAAGAAAGCTCATTGCATGGCAAAGCATGGGGAAGAGGTCAGCAGCCTGCTCCTCAGACACTCAGCTTTTGCAGTATCTCTGTACTGTCTCAAACATCCCTGTTGCAATGAATGGACTGGGCCCTAGATGTGAAGGGCAAGTACCTCAGAGTGCACACATGCCCTTCTCACCAACAGACCTTTCACTTCTTACTGCATAATCAGCAATGCCACTCTGGTTACATGAACAGCACCCGTGTGAGAAGATGGGTACAGAAGATGGGCCACGTGGCAGTTCTTTAACCCTATGAGGCAGTCAGAGTGAATGCACATGGAAAGGAGGAAACATCACGTTACCTCTAAGGAGTAGCGGTATCCAGGGGTCTCGTGCATCAGATAAGGCCACCAAAGATTTGGGTTCAGGACTTTTAGCTCTCCCACTGGCCCATCGCCTGTAGCAACCACTTTTCCCTCTTGGTCATATAAACTCAGGGATAAGGAATAGAGCGTGCTGCCAACAACAGACACCTGATACTGCACCATTGCTGGTTCAAAGGAAACAAAAGACAATCAGAAACTGCCATGAAAGGAAAAATACATGCAGCAAATGTTGGAGGGGTTTCACACAGAGCAGCATTAAAAGACAGAGGTGCAGAACAACAACAGAGTGGCGTGAATTGTCTGTAAAGTCTCAAGACTGTCTGTCTTGAGGTCCCCAATCCAGCAAGATCTGTGTATCACACAATTCTGTCAGTGGTAATCCTTTTAACAGCAGGAAGCCTGCCCCTACAGAGAAATTCCACTTCAAGAAACACCTGATCATCCTTTCACTTTAACAGTTGTCTCTTGCAAGTAATTCTTTTATCGCTTCTGAACTCTTTACCATATCCTTGCATCTGCTGAGCTGTGCAATGGATGAGCTCAGGTTCAAGAGAAAGCCACTATGAAACAAACTGACTCAGACTTTTGCAGGGTATTTTCTTCTGCTGCCCCTGTCATCTCCATTTGGAGCCTCAGGTAGCTGCTGTAATTGTTTTGGACCTACCAACACTGTCTGATGAGGTAGTTGTCACAGTAATATCATCTATGTAGACAGAAGGAGTGGTGTAAAGCACAACTGGGCGATGGATTCCAGCGTAATTAAAGAAATCAAACCTGGTGTTCTGTATAAAATAGTTCTTGGGATACCTGAGTGAGGAAGACAGGAGAAATGGCTACATTATGTTTCATTACAGGAACTGAAGGCAGCCTATGGATGCTAGCAATGTAAATTGTCATGTAATAACAAATGCTAGCTGGTAAGACAGTCTTTACAGCAGGATGGATCTATCTTTCAGTAGTGCTGCTGCTGCACTGAAGGGGGCTCCTAGTTAACAAGTACCTAATGAACTGAACAGGTTTGGTCCTTCAGGATAGCTGGTACTTGTATATTACAGCTGAATTCCAGCTTCTCAAATCTGCCATTTATTCAACTTGGCAAATCACTTAATCTCAGTTCCTTGTGTATAAAACAGATGCAATAACTCAGTCCAGATTCCTCACAACAGCAAAGCTTAAACGTCCCATTCTCTCAGTCCTGGGATAAGCTCAGCAGTACAGTAACTCACCTTGTTGTGTCACTCATGTACAGAATTGACCCTGGAGGCAGAGTATGGGGGGTGAGAGTGTTGTTGAGTGCAACAGTGATGCGGCAGGGGATCCCTGGGCTGTCCTGGATGACACTGGTTATATCTGCTTCAAAAGGGAGGTGGCCCCCTTCATGCTCCACCACTTGCACTCCATTGACCCACTGCAAGAGAAGACACCCGTGAGCCCAAGAAGCAGGTTATTGGGTTTTTGTGGCAAGTGTAGAAGGGCAAAGGGAAGGAGCCCAGCAAAAGGCAGCTGGGATTCCCAGTAACACTCAACCTTGTTCTGGGCTTTTACTCCTTGAGGGATCAGTTTAGCAGCCCTTTGTTTGCTGGCTGCTAGGCCTGGGTCATGTACAAGCCAGGGCCACTGAGATGACAGTGGCTGATCCTGTAGCAAGGAAATGTTTTAATTACTAGTCCTGGTACTGGAGAATCAGAGAAGAGAGACCTGGAAACAGGGCCAAGTTCTTGGCTGGAGGAAAACAGGCAAGAGTTAAGATATAAAACCTAGGCAGAGGTGTAGCTGCTGAACAAGCCATGAGACAGGTTTTAGTGCAGCATAATTCTGGAAACACAGGGACCACCTTCCATGCAACGTACCACAATGGAGTAGTAATGGGCACTGCCGAAGCGGAGCACCACCCTGGTGTTGAGGTCGGCCTGAAGCCAGCGGAGAGGGAGCAGCACC